GAATATGGGATACTCAGCCTGTAATACAAATATCATTTCTCCTTTGTGTTTCACCTGTTTCTACTTTTTTTTTTCGCTTTTGTGGTGCAGGAGACTGAACCCAGGGCCTTCACACTGAATTGTATATTCCTTTGAGATAGGATCTCGCTAAGATGCTAAATGGCCAGGTTGGGCTTGAATTTGGCAGTCTTCTTGCCTCAGCCTCGTAGAGTGCAGGAATTACAGGCATGTGTCACCACACCTGTTCTTGTTTCTACTTTTTTCTCTCTGACTCTTTTTATTTTTCTTTATGTCATTGAGTTGTTTTACACTTTATAGTGATTTTTGTTTCTGAGATAATTTTGCTTGTTACTTTTCTTTCCTGACTTCAATCTCCTCCCTCCCCCCCTTCCTCATTTCTTTTTCTCCCTTATTTTCTTTGTCTGTTTCTGCTTTTAATTTTTGCATTGGTGATTCAAAGTTTTTTTTGTGTTTCAGTCCATTTAATTTTTGTTTGGATTATTACAGTTTATTTTGCTTTATTATTATTAGTGAATTCCTTTCAGTTGATTTATGTAAAATTTTATATCCTGATTTTCTCCATTACCTCTTATAGACTTGAGTTTTCTCTTGCTCATTTTTATGATACTGGGTATTTTATAGTATTTCTAATCTAATGGTATCTTCCTCTGTCAATATAGCAAAGTCCAAGTAGTTTGCAAGGGTTCTGTTTGTTTTGCTTGAGGAAAAGGTTGTTGTGTCTCCAGTTGTATGGATCTCCTTTGCTTCACAGGACTCTAAGTGATCCTCTTTTTTCTTTCTTTACCCTTCACAACCACTTAGGTCCCCAATGATCCTTCTCTTTACCTTTTCCTCTTTTTTCTCTCCACTCTGCATTTCAACAAGTGCTTATTTAAATCATCCCTGCCCTTTTAAATTAAATGCTCTCTGAAACTTTTTCCCTGTTGTCTGTGTTCTGACCTGTGGGCCCACTTTTCCAGTATTTTCAGATCTGACATGGATTTGATATTTGTGGCTGTTACCCCAAATCACCTTCAGGGCCCTTCACCAGACTTCTTCCTTATTTACCGTTTTCTTAGTCTGCCTGCCTTGCCACAAAGCTCTGTGGCTAGATGGAAGTGAGAGTGTGTACACTGGATATCTTAGTTACTTTTCTCTTGTTGGTGAGACAAAGTACCTGACACTCACAAGTTAAAAGGTGAAAGGTTTATTTGGCTCATAATTTGTAGAGGTTTCAGTCCATAATCAGCTGGCTCCAAGTCAGAGTGGCACATGGCAGAGGGGTATCGGAGAGGAGAAACAGTTCATGATGCCTACATGGTAGCAAAAGCAACAAGGGGCCTTAGCAGCTTTTTTCTGCCCCTTTTGTACTCTATCTAGGCTGCTGGGATGATGGCAGTGCCAAACCAGTCAGTGGACTGATTTAGTAATCACACACCCTTAATCCCAGCATTGCACCATGAATCAATCACACAGTCTAGATCCAACCTCTGAAAAAGACTTTGCATGAGGCTTTGGGGGATATCTAGACACAAGCCATAACACTGGAATTGAGTGATTTTTTCTCTTTTATTTTGGAATTTATTTTTTATTTGCAATTGTGGCATTCTGTAATCTTCAAGTTGTACAACCAGTGTGCTTTGGTGTAGAATTTAATTTTTTTCCTTATGTTTGGGGAAAGAATTTTGGTGAGACATTGTGCAACTGCCATTGTCCTTGGCTGCCTTGAAGTCTTAGATTACTTAGTAAATGTTGGTAGTATAATTAGCCATTCATCTGGAAATAGTTTCACACTGTAAAGAGTTTATTAAAGTTTCAGATGAACACAGAATTTGTTTTAATTCTAGACAGACTAAAGACTCATGTAAAAAAAACCAACCAAATATCTCTTAAGAAAATTAAAGCAAATACCTATTTAATCTGGTCATGGGAGTGGGTTGGAAGCACTATTTGATCAAGCCTGAAAAACAGAAAGTATAACAGAAAAGATACATGTATATGCAAAAGACAGAAGAAATATTTGCAGTGTTGACAGACTATGATAAAATATAACACTTTACAAATTGACCAGAGAGGAGAATGCATGAGTAAACATTTCCCAAAAGTTTATCCGAAAAAACCAATAAACATAAGATGTTCAGAGTGACTACTAATCAGGGAAATATAAATTAGAATGACAACATATTCCTTTACAGTTGTCAGATAGGCAGAATTTAAAAGATCAAAATTACCTATGGCTTGCAGCAAGGGATAGATGAAAGTACTTTTGTGTACTTTGCACAGTAGTGGTATTTGGTAAAGACTTAACCGTGTTTCCCCCCAAAATAAGACTTAGCTGGAAAATAATCAGCCTTGAAAACTAGAGATAAAAATGCCAGCCTTAATCAGCCTATCCTTGCCTTACCTGCCTTACAGAGCAACCACTGATCAAGAGAATAGTGATGGCAGGTAAGGCAGTACTGATATCCTGGGAAAAGAGATTTCTAGTCTGAGAAAATAGCGACTGTTCTATATGTCCAGGAAACAGCAAGGAGACCAGTGTGTCTGGAGCCAGGTAAACAGGTAAGCAGGAGATGAGGTCAGAGGGGTAGTGGATAGGCTGTGTTGTGTATAGCCTTGTTGGCTATTTTTTTTTTTTGGTACTGGGGATCGAACTCAGCTATTTTAAGGGTTAAGTTTGCTAATTTGAGAGGGGAAGCCATTCAGGGTTTTTAAGCAGAATGAAATGATCTCTTGCACATATGTATTTCAGTTACTGTTTTGTCAGTTCTAGACTATCCATTTTACTTTTTAAAAAATTTATTTTATAACTCTCTGGTGAATTTTTCCATCTTTTCATCTGCTTTCTCCATTTATAATGATATTAAAGTTGGATTACTTTTAGATCTGTTTTCTTAGCTTATGGTATGATATCAACTTCTAGGTATGCTTAGTAATTCTTTATTAAATGGCCAGCATTGTATATAAAAGTTACAGACTCTTTCCCCAGTAGGCAGTTAGAGGGAGGGTTGAGTACAAGTTCCTTTGTAGTTTCAGTCAGGCTCAGATTCCCTTTAATTTGCTTAGCCTCTAGGTGCTAACCCTTCAGAGCTTTCATTTAAGAACCTGGCATGTTCACTGGGGTTCTTTGCCTGGCTGGTCCTGAGCTTGAATCTCTATCTCCTTAACATGGCAGTGTTGAAAACTCTGCTCTGCTTTTTAGGAGTTTTCTGCTTAGATTCCTTAGCCTTCTGTCATATGTGGCTTCAGAATCTAGCATACATCCTAAGAGGGATAGTTCCCCATCTCTCTCTTCAAATTCTACTCCTAGATTCTCAAGCCCCCAGTTTTGTTTTGTGAGCTCAATACAGCTAAAAACTTTGGTAGTTTCTCTATCTTTAAGCAATCACTGTCTCCATAGGCAGATTTTGATTCTCAGCCTCCTACTCTATGCTTAGAACTGGCAGATATACCCAAGGGAAAAGTGACTTCACAATGTCAGTTTACCTCTCTGTAGTTCCTTCCCCCCTACTGTTATTATTCAGTTGCCCAGTTTCCTTCAGAACTCTCCAGTGCCTTTAAGCAGATTACAAAAACTATCTGTACTTTCTAGTTATTCTTGGTCAGAGCATTGGTGTCCTAAGCACTTTTCTTGTCTCTGGGACAAAATATCTGACACCTGCAACTTAAAGGAGGAGAGGTTAATTTTGGCTCACATTTCAGTCCTCTCAGTCCTTGCATGGGCTGCCAGCTACAGGCAGAAGCAGCATGGTGGAAGGTACTGGTGGAAGAAAGCTGCTCACCTCATGACAGACAGGAAGCAGAAAATTAAGGAGAACCAAGAAGTAAGATACGCCCTTGCAGGTCATGCCCATAGTGACCTACAACTTCTAACCAGATCCCTCTTCCTTACAGCAAGTGAGCTTTGTTGTCCTCATAATCCAATCACCTTCCAAACACGTGATGCTTTAGGGATTATTTTAGATCTAAACCATAACAATTGGTCTGTCTCTTCTGACTCAGAAGAGAGAGAGATGCCTGACTTAAATTTCAGAAGCTTCATTTATCTACTTTATTGAAATAGATAGTAGTGCGGTAAAGGTTGAAGGCAGGAAAACCCCTAGGGAGGCTTTTTCAGTGACCCATGAGTTGATGGCTTAGACCAGGGTTGTAGTAATGGAGTGGGAAAGCTAGTTGGGTTCTGGATATATTTTGTGAAAATAGGGCTCATTAATGGAATTTGGAGTGTCAGAGAGGAAGGACTCAGTGAAGGTCCTCAACGATCTAAGACAGTGGTGGCAAACCAATGGCATGTGTGTTGTTTTCTTTTAAAACAAAAGATGTTAGTGTATGAATTGTTTTTTCTAAACTAAAACCTCAGTATTAAGGTTTAATTACAGTGTGGGCACTTTGGGATAATAAGTGGGTTTTGGGTTGCAGGTTGGGCACTTGTCTCTAAAAGAGTCAGCATCACTGATCTAGGATGATGATGGATTGCTATTTATTGAGATGAGGAAGTCTCCAGGAGGAACAGGTTTGAGTTCTAATGGTGGTTATGGTAGATTAGGAGTTCAGGTTTGGATATGTAGACTCTGAAATGCCTGTTAGGTATCCATGTGGCGAGGCAGAGTACTGTAATGGTATATATGAGTTCAGGGAAGGTCTTGGTTGGAGATGAAAATTTGGGAGTCACTGTGAGATCAGAATCTGAAGGGAAAAGGGACATGTGAAGAAATCACTGTTTTTTAAAATAAATTTTTTTCCCCGAAATTTAGATGTATAGAAAAGTTGCAAAGATTGTTAAGAAAAGTTCCTATATCCCTTCATCTGTTTCTCCCTAATGTTAATAAAACCATGGAAGCTAAAATATCAACATTGGTACAGTACCATGAATTCAACTCTAGACTTCATTTTCATTTCACCAGTTTGAAATCACACACTGTAGTGTAAGATGGAAGTTTAGAAACATTTTATAAATCATCCATATAAGTTTTTGATTGTGTTTTCTTCTCCCTTTATAGAACTGATGGCTGAAGAATAAATCAGTATGGCAACTATGGTTCCACCAGTGAAACTGAAATGGCTCGAACACCTGAACAGCTCCTGGATTACAGAGGACAGTGAATCTATTGCTACAAGGGAAGGAGTTGCTATCCTGTATTCTAAACTAGTCAGCAATAAGGAAGTAGTCCCTTTGCCCCAACAAGTTCTGTGTCTCAAAGGACCACAGTTGCCAGACTTTGAGCGTGAGTCTCTTTCGAGTGATGAACAGGACCATTATTTGGATGCCCTTCTTAGCAGCCAGCTCGCGCTAGCAAAGATGGTCTGTTCAGATTCTCCGTTTGCTGGGGCACTTCGAAAACGACTGCTTGTACTCCAGCGTGTCTTCTATGCACTTTCCAATAAATACCATGACAAAGGCAAGGTGAAACAGCAGCAGCATTCTCCGGAGAGCAGCTCTGGTTCAGCAGATGTCCATTCTGTTAGTGAACGTCCTCGGTCAAGCACTGATGCACTTATAGAAATGGGTGTTCGAACTGGTCTAAGTTTATTATTTGCACTTCTGAGACAAAGTTGGATGATGCCTGTGTCGGGACCTGGCCTTAGTCTTTGCAATGATGTTATTCATACTGCAATTGAAGTTGTGAGCTCTCTGCCACCATTATCTTTAGCAAATGAAAGCAAGATTCCTCCTATGGGCTTGGACTGCTTATCACAAGTAACAACATTTCTTAAAGGAGTAACTATTCCCAATTCTGGGGCAGACACTTTAGGTCGTAGATTAGCTTCTGAGTTGCTGCTGGGTTTAGCAGCTCAGCGAGGCTCATTGCGGTATCTTCTTGAATGGATAGAAATGGCTTTGGGGGCTTCAGCAGTTGTAAATACCATGGAGCAAAACAAACTACTGTCAAGCCAGGAAGGAATGATCAGCTTTGACTGCTTCATGACTATATTAATGCAGATGAGGCGTTCTTTGGTACGTACTATAAATGTCAACTTTAAAGTTTGTAATAATTTTTGGAAAAGTCAATCCAGCTTTTAGTGAATTAGTGGTAATAGTAAATGATTTGAAAGTTCTTCTGGTGTTTGGTAGGTTAATTAACTATTTTATGTACTTTGCATGAAGAAACCCATACATGTTGATATACAGAGTGAAGACCACTGGATTATGGTTTTAGTTTATGGTTTTAGTTTCAAGATTTATGTGAGTTTGGGAAGTTCATTTAACTTCTGTATGTTTATAAACTCGTGTAAAATGAGGGACTTTGCTGAGTTAGTGTGAAAGTCCTTCTAAAACATTTGTAAGTTCATTCTTCCCAATTTTTGTTAATCATTTACTGTATACCAAGTATTATTCTAGGCCGTAGGGATATACTCCTGTGGATACAGTTTTTGCCTTCATAGAGCTAACAGTTTAGTGGGGTAAGTCAGGCAACACATGTATAATTTCAAATCGTGAGAAGTTCTAAGAAGAAAAATAAGGGAGTAAAAGAGGGAATAGAAAGTAATAAATCTCAGGGAAGAGGTTGTGAGGTGAAAGGTGTGCTATTTTAGTCAGTGTGGTTAAGGAAGGATTGAGTTGTGACATTTGAGTAGAGACCTGAAAGATGGGAAGTGATGAGCTAAGCAGGAGCCTGAAAAGGGTATGTTGTAAGAGGAAATTCCTTGACTATCATAACCTTGATACTATATTAAAGAATAACGAAATATACTGTAGTATAATCAATTTCAAGAATTTTTAAGACTGAAATGTAACTTTGTGAAAACCAAGTATATCCTAGTTCGATCCCTGGTGCCAAAAAACCCCCCCAAAAAACAAAAAAAAAACCAAGGATAAAAATTTGCATATTAAAATACTAACTTGGAAGAGTAAGACTCAAATACTTGGCCGGGGATTTAACTCAGTGGTTCCGCTGCCTGCCTTGCAAGTGGAAGGATCTGAGTTCCATCCCCGGTACCAAAAAAAAAAAAAAATCTGTGGAAATGTGGATTTCTTAGTGTTAAATAAATATAAGGCAAAAGCTTGCAGTGACTGTGGGATATGGAGTGTTGACACTGGTCCTCTTATCTTCACTTGAGATGATCTAGGAAATGGGATGCTGTGATCTAAGAAAATCTTCAGATAACACCTGGGGTAGGCAGTTAACCCCCTTTGTGTTTTCTTATTCTCACTTGCACATCTGTTTTTCTAATTTTGTTTCCTGATTCTTACTACTTTCTGATAACATTGTCTTACTTTATACTGCTTCCAAATCTGTAGTGTTGTTTAACAACCTAAATAATACATGTATTCATGGTCGTATGTTAATATTTTGTGAAAGTCATTTAATTCCTCACTTTACAGGCTGTTTATTTTGCATTGCCTTTGTTACAAAAAAAGTACTGAAGTAGGTGTGGTGGTGCACGCTTGTAATCCTAGTACTAGGGGAGCTGAGGCAGTAGGACCATGAGTTTAAGGCCAGCCCGGGCTACATAGTTAAACCCTGTCTCAAAAAATCAAAGCCAAACCAAAACCAAACAACCAGCCCAAAAGATATTAACACAATATAACTATATGATTATGTACTTGTCCATGGTATAGTCCCTTCTTGCACAAAATGCTATGTACCTTCAGTGAGAGGCTCCCACCCGACCTTAACCTCTAAGGCCTTATCCTGCAGTATCCCTCCTACAAGGAAGGGTTACTGCAGGAACCTAGACTACTGATTGATAGTTTAAATTGCTCTACAAATTTAAGAAATCTTTACAATAAATAAATGTATACCTACCTTTTAATGCATTTTATTCTTCATTTAATTAGCCTGTAATATTCCATCTCATTCTTTTTCTGGCCTTTTTTTCCTTTACCGCTCCATACTATCTGTAGTAAGGGAGAAAGAAAACCCACTTTTGTTGAGTGCCAACCATCCAGCAGGTGCTTTACATTGCTTTCTCATTCAATTATCATGTTAACTGTGAGGTAGATGTTAATTGCCCTAATCTTGAAGGTGAAACAACTGTGTTAGCTTGGATTTACAAATCTTGAGCAACAGCAGTGTAAAATAACATGCACTTCTGATTTAAGCACGTAATAGGTCAGGTATGATGTTAAGTAATTCTTACAAGGCCGAGTCTCTCTGCAAAGCTTATGATTTTTCTGACTGTTCTATGTAGTTTTTATCCCATTTATGTTAAATTTATTCATTTTTTGGGCTCGAGATTTAGCTCAGTGGTGCTGCTGCCTGCCTCGCAAGCGCAAGGTCCTGAGTTCAATCCTCAGTACCATAAATAAAATCATTTTTTCCCACTAATGACTACTGTAAAATAGATGTAAAATATAATGTTTATTTTATTGCTGGATTTTCAGTTTTATCTCCACTTGGACACTCATTCTTTGACAAAATACCATGTACACCTAGTTGGGAGTCACCTAACCAACTGAAGACTATAGGGTCCCAAGGCCACAGAGAACCCAATACTGAATGTAGCTCCTTGTTGGGCCAGTGGTGCTCCAGAAAATCATTGTTTTCCTTGAAATTCTGGGTCTACTCTGGGGAAGAATTTTGTGTGTTTGATTTAGTTTGGCTCTCTCACAGTTGCTTCAGGCCTGCATTAGATATAGTTTAAATTAAAATTCAAGATTGTTTTTAGAGGGGAAAAAAAAAAAAGATTGGTTTTAGGGGAAAGGAATGGTTATTTAAATGAATTTTGTTATTGCTCCTTGCATGGTGAGTGATTGAGTCTGATGCTCTTGGTCTCCAGAACTCAAATTTCTGACCCTTTACTGTGTAGTCTGAGAACTCAGAGAATATGTGAGCCACACCTGGTACATGAGACCCAGTGTGGCATGAATGTCCCTGCCATGAGTTTCTTGGCCCCTGAATGAATGGGACAGGATTTAAGCTGTAAGATAGAGGGAGAAGCACATAACCATCAGTTAAGTACCTGGCCAATGCCTAACAAAATAAGTTTAATCTGTCAATTATATGTATTTGTGGTATTGTTAAACTCAGCTACCCAAGTATGTCTTTGAGTAGGAACATATAAAATACTCTTTATGCTTAAATAAAAATAGGGGAAAAATAAAGTTATTCATACTGTAAGTGTACATCTTCATATTCTAAAAAACAAATCACAATATAAATTCCTCTGGCCTTTGATGCCATTGGATGTTTACTAGCCACTGTGTTCCAAATACTGTTAGGTGCTGGGCTAAAAAGCATTGGTGCTTTTAGGTAGTTCATGATTTAATGGAAGAGGGATGCAATTTAATTTCAAATTAAAGATAATGGGCTGGGCCGGGAATTTAGCTCAGCTGGTTCCACTGCCTGCCTCAAAAGCACAAGGTCCTGAGTTCGATCCCCGGTACCAAAAAATAAAAGATAATGGGCTGACTGGTAAAGATCTGCATTGGGAGGAGGTAAGTTGGCTGGAGGGAAAGAGGCAGAACATGCCTTATGAGGGAAGGATCTTGACATTAGTTGAAAGCTAGAGGGAGTTTGCCTGCTGACATGAAGTACACGGCTGGGAATAGCTGGGGAAAGGAAGACCAAAATTCACAAAGTGGCCAGGGTGAGGGAGAGCAAGCTCCTGGGTGTGTGGTGTAGAATGGGATGAGATGAGGCTGTGAGCTAGGCAGGCCCTGTATCCCATGCTATAGGATTTGGGGACTTAATTCCTGGGTATTGGGGAGACACTGAAGCAATTTTGAGTAAAAACAGAACCTTAAGGAAATACACTCCCTCTAGGCATATGTCCTTGTCTGAATACCTTAGACAAATGTAGGGGGAAAAGGTTTCCTCATCCCTTGGTTTAGTGATCACTATGGGGGCCTTTAAATAATGGAGCCACAGATCACAATTACGTTTTCCCCAGAAATGCTGCACAGCTAAGTAAAGAATTTAGAGAGGTTATGGGAATGTATTTGCTGCTATAGCAACACATGGTATCTAGGGACTAGTTGTTTTTTTTGAACCCTCAGCTTTTTGTGTGATTCTAGCCCTCTAAGTCAAAGTATGAGCCTCAGAGTAGCATGGGCATCACCTGGGATTTGTTAGAAATGCAGAATCTTGACAGTTGTGGTGGTGCACACCTGTAATCTCAGCTACTTGGGAGGCTGGGGCAGGAGGATCACAAGTTTAAGCCCAGCCTGGGCAGTTCAGTGAGACTTCTCTCGGGCTGGGGATTTAGCTCAGTGGTTTCTCCCCCTGCTGCCTAAGCACAAGGACCGGAGTTTGATCCCGGTACCAAAAAAAAAAAAAAATCCTTCCTCTCAGTGAGACTTCTCTCATCCCTAGTCTCAAAATAAATAAAAAGGCTGGGGATATAATTCAGTGCTAGAAAGCCCTTGGATTTGATCCCCAGTACTGAAAAAAGAAGAAAAAAAGCAGAATCTCAGGCTCCATCTGTACTTACTGAATCAAATATGTATTTTAACAAGTTTGCCAGGTAATTAATGTCTGCATTAAAACTTGGGAAGCACTGCCTTAAGTAATTAAGGAGAAGAACTGACTTGGCAACAGCAGGTGACCCAACAATAACAGAAATAGTTAAACTGGACACAGTGGTGCACACCCGTAATCCCAATTATTTGAGAGGCTGAGATAGGATCACAAGTTCAAGGTAGCCTGGGCAATTTAGGGATCCTGTTTACCCTGCTTAGAAAAAAAAAAGAAAGAAAAAAGGAAGGAAGGAAAGGAGAGAGAGAGAGAGAAGAAAAAATAGCCAAGTAGAACCAAAAATGTAAAGAGATGAGCATGTGCTGTGATAGGAAGACTTTGATTAGCTGTTGACAGCAAGCAGAAGAAAATAGTTAAGAATGGTAATTAATGATGGGGTAGGGATAACAGAGACCACAATGACAGGAAGCTTTTACCTTTTTTTTTTTGGAGGTGCTGGTAGTAGAACCCAGGGCCTCATGCAGGCCAAGCGTTCTATCACTGACCTTCACTCTCGGCCCAGGGTTTACATTTTAAATTTATAGACTTTTGAGAAATGAGAAAGGGAGCCATCTGTAAAGGGAGAAAATATTGAACTTCTATTTCGCTTTGCCTGGGGTAAGGGAAGTGGTACAAAAGGCCATTTACCAGAGCTTCATTCCAAGAGTTTTTTGATTGTTTTTACTTTTCTTTCTGTAGTACTAGAGATTTAACCTAGGGCATTTGCATTGAGCTGCATCTCCAGCCTATTTTTTATTTTGAGTCAGGGTCTTGCTGAGTTGGAAGTTTCCCAGGCTGGGGGCAAATTTTTGATCCTCCTTCCTCAGCCTCCCAGACTACTGGGATCAGAGGCGTGCACCACCATACCTGGCTCCATTACAGGAGATTTTGAAGGCAGAGGTGAATTGCTAGAAGAAAAGTTCTGTACAGTAACAGCTATTGGAGAACTCTCTACGATGATTCCTATTTGAGTGATTTGAAGGTACTTACACATGTATCTTCCCAGAAGATATAGGTTGATAAAAATTTCACCATTGTAATCTGGGTACAGTGGTATGTGCCCACAGTCCAAGCTGTTCATGTGACTGAATCAGGAGGGGTGCTTGAGCCTAGGAATTTGAGTCTGGGCAACATAGCTAGATCACGTCTTAAAAACAAACAAACTGTAAGTTAATTTTCTTGGTGGAATAGACAGAGGCCAGATGAATATGTAGAACAACAACCAAAATCCTGCAAAACTTTAATGTATTGTGAAACTTTAAAAATTCTAAGCTGGGTGTGGTAGCACATGCCTGTAATCCTAGCACTCTGGGAGGCTGAGGCAAGAGGATTGCCAGTTGGAGCCCAGCCTGGACAACTTAGTCAATTAGCAAGACCTTGTATCAAAATTTAAAAGGGATGGGAACGTAGGGCAGTGTCTCTGAGTTCAATCCTTAGTTGCAAAAAAAGAAAAAAAATTCTAACTAAATACTAAATTAAATACTGTGGATATTTTGTTTGAAAGCATTGATTGGAATTTTATATCTGGTTCAAAATACGAATTTCTTTTATTATGGAATTATAAAGTTATAAGTATAAAATAGTTTGAATTAATAAAACCATAGAACCTTACAGTTGGATGGGATTTTGCAGGGCATAGAAGTCACCTTTTCCTCTATAGTACTTCTGTATTATATGTCTGTCAAGTAAGTGGTCATTTGGTTAAATATCTTTACAGTATAGTATCTTCTGAAATAAAGCCACAAGTGAAATTTTCACAATTATAGCACTGATAAATCATAGAACTGACATTTGTGGTCTAAAGATATGGAAATTTGAGGCACCATGTATATAGTTCACTTTCTGATTTATCATTTTTCATCAAGATAATGATTTCTCTCATTTATTTTATTGGGTCCCAGAGAAATTCTGCGAATCCTCAGCTATGCTAAGAAAAAGATGCTTCATTGCTAGTGTAGCCATGAACTGACTCCTGGAATGTTGGTTATGCTGAAACTGAGGAGGGAAGGACAGACAGACTGTTGCCACTCTGGATCATTACTTAAGCTGGCTGTATTCTGCTTGCCTGTGTTTCTTGGGGCAGGAAGGCAAGGCAACCCTGGGGAAGTGATTCAGGGGAAGTCACCAAAAGAATGTGTAACTACCAAATTCATTCTTTTTACTATTTCTAGAGCCTTGTAACCCTTTGGAATGAATCACTGTTTAATAAGGTAATGGTAGAGAGATTGGGCCTTAATTTGCCATTTGACTCAATAACCAGGCCTTTTATAACACTTATGTGTAAAAGTTAGTTTGAGACCAAATGTTAGGATTTGGTTTCACTGCACAAATCAAATGAACAGTTCTCAGGGCTCAGTAGTAGAGCACTTGCCTTGTGTGCACAAGACCCTAAGCTTGATCCCCAGTACCACAAAAACGAACAAACAAAAACAAAAATAAAAGCAGGTAAATAGTTCTTCAAATAGATGTTGTTTTCATAGAGTATTTAAGTGCTTTTAAATACAACTGTCTCTCTCCTTCCCATACTGTATCTTACAATGTTTAATTATAGGGTTCATCTGCTGATCGGAGTCAGTGGAGAGAACCAACTAGAACATCTGACGGCCTGTGCTCGCTCTATGAGGCAGCATTATGTCTCTTTGAAGAGGTAAGTAATCATCATGGCTTTTGCATCAAACATTACTTCCTCTTAAAATGCTATAGCATGTATTTATCCATTGAAAGCATCTATTTGGAGAGGGGACCAAAAATACAGTTCAAAAGCAAGTGACGTGAGTGGCTGCCTCTAGAGAGTGGAGCCTGGGGTGTTTTGGCCCAGTGTGGGAAAGGAACATATTTTCAGTGTATTTTATTTTGAATATTGGATCATGTACTGATAAGTTTATTTGAAAACAATTTTGCCAGGGATGTAGCTCAGTGGTTCTGCCGCCAGCCTTGCACGCGCAAGGTCCTGAGTTCGATCCCTGGTACCAAAAAAAAATAAAAAAAATTTTTATTAAGTAAAAGAAATACAGAAGGATATATAAACACATGTATGATTAATGAAGTGTTATTAAATAAGCACATTTTTAATCTGTACTCTGGTAAAGAAATAGAATTTTGCCAGCCACAGGAGAAGCCCTTTCATGTCCTTGTCATAACTTCTTTCCTCCTTCCCTGAACATAACCACTTTTGTGACTTTTAGACTAATAACTCCCTTGTGGTTCTTTGTAGTTGTGTGACTCAGGTTTGCATCCCTGGGCGCTAGTTCATTCTTGTCCATTAAGTAGAAAAGTTTTAAATCTCTGAATTGGTACATTCTTCCTTCTTTTCCTTCAATGTATGTGTTCAGTAGCCTATTTATTAGATTGTAGATATTCCCAGTCTGTATTTTGCTGATTGATTACTGTTGATACCATTCAGCATGTTTTCTTTGCCTTTGTATTGCCTACAGATTGGCAGCTGGATCCAGAGGCTTGATCAGTCTCACAGTGGATCGTTTTAGCAAGCTGTATATGTGGTGTTGTGTTCTTCCACCCGGTTCCATCTGGTTGCCTCTCTTTGTGGTGCTTAATAGCTAGATGTAATTGATTTGTGGCTAGTTGTGGTGGTATTCTAATTCTATTATTTCTTTTTCATTTATTAGTTAGAATGTTTATAAAGAGATGCTTCCCGTATCAACTCTTTGATTACTCTGCTACAGTTCATATAGGAGAGCCAAAATAAATGCTTGAATCTTCCCACCTGCTTTTGTTTATTTTCAGTTAATGAACTGATCCTTTATCATACTTTAGGCTTGACCAATTAACTATTAAAAAATATCATTTTGAACTTGTAGACTTAAACCTGTTTGAGTGTTGGATTGTTATTTGTGGTGATGGTCTGTGTTGCTTCATTTAGGCCTATCGTCTTGTCAGGGTGGTAATATCTTCAAGTTCTTCCTAAGTTCCTCTGACATAAAAGGCTGCTACTCTTTGAGAGCTTCCTTGCTTTCTGATATAAGATGTTGTTCCTGGCTCATCGTGTACATTTTCTACCCTGGGAATCAGCTTGATATTTCTTCAGAAAGGCCCTGGTTTCTTTTATTGAGAAATGTTGATTTCAACACCATGATGAGGGTGCTAGAGATGCTTACTGCTAGTGAGTTGGTCTTAACTGTTTTGAGGCTTTTATAATTAGACAGAGCTAGGAAATTGTGAGGAGTTGTGGGGTGTGCGCATGTGTGGTATGTTTAAAGCCAGAATACCTCATGAGTTCTAGGGCCATAGAATTTTTACTTAACCTTTTTGTATATTACATTTATATCTTCTTTCCTTCAAACTAAAACTGCTGATTTTCAAGGCTATAGGGATGATGGAATTAAGAGTATCCTATAATTACTCATTTGTTTTAATTGCATTATGCACACAAATAGACACATTCATATATACACAGCTGTCCTAAAATAACAAGACAAATATTACTGCTGTGTGGTTACTGAAAATATTAAGTTTTTAATGGTCCCCTTTATTGTAGTTGTACTTAGAACATGTAGTCATTACATACTCTATGCTTTTTTAATCCTCATTTAGTATTAGTTCTATAAGTAACTACATACTTAATGCTTACTCTAGTCTCTATAATCTTTTTGGTTGGTTGAAGCCCATTCTCTAGTAGATTTTTCAAAACAAATGCAGAGGAACAAAATTCTCATAGTTTTAGTATGTTGATAATTGTTACGCTTTTTATTACAGAAAGTTAGTTTTGGGAAATAAAATGTCTGGCTCACCTTTCCTCCCTCCCACACTTTCTTCCCTTCTCCCCTTTGTTTTTCTGTTTTTTTCATGTACTGGAGATTGAATCCAGGACCTTTAGACTGAGCTACATTGTTGCCAGCCTTTTTTTGTTTGTTTGTTTTTTGTTTTGCCCCCAAGCAGAATCTTGCTAAGTTGCCCAGGCTGTGATCAAACTTGTGATACTCTTGCCTCAGCCTTCCAGAGTGCTAGGAATACAGGCTTATCGCACTACTCCTGGCTTTGTTTTTCTTTTTCTGTATCTTAAATATGTTACCCCATTTTCTTCTGGCATAAAGACTTGCTGTCTAAGTCCAAAGGTAGTCTTTCTTTTCTATATGAGTCACATGCTTATTTTGCTGAGAAGTCCCTCTAAGAACATTTTTTTTCTTGTAAAGATCAGTAATTTTACTAGAATACATCTTAATATTATTTATTCTGGATTTATATTCTTAGAGCTGTGAGAAGTCATATGTAGTTTCAGATATTTTTAATTTCAGGAAAATGTCCTTAAATTATTGTTTCTAGTAGTATTTTCTTTGGTTGTCTTCTTTAGGAACTCCAATTATCGGTATGTTAGATTTTTGCCTAACATTGTCATTTATTCTTGAATTTTTAAATATCTTTAGTTTTTTTTAATTTCTAAAAATATCTTCCTTTTCATCTTTTGTTATTCATAGGTCATTGTCTATTGTATTATTTACTCCTGGATTTTTTCTAATCATTTTGGAAATGTTTTTTCTTTGTTCCTAATTCTTTATTGAGTGTGTCACTTCATTTTTAGCATTGCTAATTCAAATTTGTGTTTTCTTGTCTTGTTTCATTTACTTAATGCCTTTAAACTGTTTTGAGATAAGTTACAGTTTTCTCTGTTTTGCAGGCATTTTCCTTATGGCATGCTTTTATTGTCTGGATGTTACTATGCTCCTTTTCTCTTTCTTTTTTTACAACAACCTGTTACAGGATTTGACCTCAGTACTTTACTGTTGGTTATTATGTGAAATTACTTTTCCTGAACTCTTAGAATACGTTAAGATTCAGTATATCTTTTCTAACTCCGTAGACCCCCACCCTTGTGTTATTTTTGTGTGATGTTAAAAAAAAAGATATTTCCCCAGCTTGTTTTCCTTCTCAACTTTTACCTTCACTTTCTCCATCATTCCTGGCTGTTGTGCCTGTCCTGTGCACTTTTGATTCCATTCCTTGTAGTTTCTCATCAGTGTGTGTGTGTGTGTGGGTGGGGGCTGTTCTAGAAAGGAGTTCTCAGGCTGGTTAATATTTTAAGAGTTCACAAGAGCTAAATATTATTTTTTAAAATACGTTTTAAGCTCTGTTGTTCCTTCCCAGCTTTTTGAAGAGTAAAAGGACAGGAGGGCTATGATTTTTCTTATGAGCTGCATTATAGTAATATATCTTTAAATGAACAGTTTTAACCACCTTGGCCTCATCCTTTTGTCTCCAGCAAAATTTCGTATCTTTTATTGGGGATGAGCAGTTTTCACTTACTCAGTTTTGTGTGTTCTTAGAGCTGTCCTCATGTTCACTGGAAAATATTTGTCTAAAACAAATTCTGCTGTTTTGCATTGTATTTAAAGATTCTAACTAAAATTATTCTATCTCTGCCCATTTAATGTGCACACAAACTAATACAGTGACTTTTAAAGATTTTTCTTTTATTGTTTTGCTCAATTATGCAAACCCCCCCCCAAAAACCAGATAAGACTTTTAAAATAACTGTAGTTAAACTGAAAATCTTTATTGTATTGAGTGCATATGTCGGTAAAAAATTCATTAATGCCTAATAAATAAGAGGGCAAAAGTAAGTTTATTACACAAAATGTGGTAAACAAACAAACATGACTTTACTGATAATAATGACATGTGAAATTAATGGCATCCTCTTTTCCCACTCAAATTTGCAAACAAACAAACAAAGCAAACACCAAAACACCTTTAAAAACACAGGGCCCATCAATGGTGTGGGTGCTGTGGTGACACCAGTGCTCTCACATACACCCATTCCTTGGTTGGGGCAAGCGAGATGGCCACCTCAGATCCTGTGTCTTTGGTGAGGAACTTAGATTTTATAAAGCCATTGTGACTAGCAACAAATTTTACCATTAAACATAAATGGTAAATCACTCATGACTTTTATTTTGTATGAGTGTGTGTTTGTTGAAATGCTCTGGACTTTTACTGTTTTGAGGACAGCCCTCCTTTTGAACATTGCTGGTGACAGTATGGTAAGCATCATTTTGGAAATCAGTTTGTTATAGTATGTTTCAAGAAGTAGAAGACTGTAGGATTGTTGTCCTTTTTTTGATATACCATTTCTTAGATTCTCTACTAAAGAAGTAAAAAAATATAGTAACAACTATATTCTTAGAAATGGCTGATAAAATAATGAAATAAAAAGAACTTAAATATCTTATTAAAGGTAAGTGGTTAAATAAATTATTTTTGTATTAGATATGTTTCAGTCATAAACATTAGGTAGACCTGTAAATTTTGCATGAGTTTTTTGTAGCATTTGTTGCATTCATATAACCACAGTAATGACTACATTAAAGAACATAGTCTTTATGAAAAATATGAAAAATTCTAGAATGACATATAAAAAAGATAACATTTATTATATTAAGGTGATGAGATTATCCAGTGGTGACTTTTTCTTTGTTTTTTAAACTTTATTTTTCTATAATGCTCTTGTATTTAGTAATAAAATCTGTATTTGAAAAGGCTTGTCTCTCCCATTTTGCCTCCTTTTATTAATATCTTTCAGTGATTTATTCTGTGCAAGTAAATATTCTATTTATCTGTATTTAAGAATAGATGTGTTATTCCTAGATTTGAGCAGTTGAAAGTAGTGGAAGGAAAGGCAACAGTAATTTCAGAGAATATGTGTAAAATATCTAAACTAAAAATGTCTTGCTTTTTCATATTTTAAAATTTTTATAGGTTTGTAGAATGGCTTCTGATTACTCAAGAACATGTGCTAGCCCAGATAGCATTCAGACTGGAGATGCTCCCATTGTCTCTGAAACCTGTGAGGTTTATGTTTGGGGAAGCAACAGCAGCCATCAGTTGGTAGAAGGCACACAGGAGAAAATACTGCAACCCAAACTAGCTCCTAGCTTTTCTGATGCCCAGACCGTAAGTTCCCTGCATACCTTACAGATAGCTTTACACTTACTTGCTTTATGCTGAGTAATTTTTAAATGAATTAAAATTCTTGATTGTTACTTGTTTATGTTGTATTTATATCATACTGCATCAATATTTTATTTTAATAGAAAAATGCATTTTTGGTCTTGGAAATACCTGGAACCATTTCCAAGGTTCAAAAAATTAAATTGGGATCTAGATTCTTAGAAAGCCTTATGAATAGCAACAGAGTTTACCATTATATTAAACACGCATGGAAAGTAAGACTAAAGGATAAATAAAAGCTTTATTTTCCTTTTTCCAGATTGACATTTCATTTTCTTATTATGATTACTTGTTTTTTTACATTCGTAACTCAAGCAAAAACTTCTATTTTATTATTTTAGTTAAAATGTATTTTGTTTCCCAAATGAATTTAGAGTATGTTTTGTATGGTTCTTGCCATAGTGATCCTAAGGAATTTATAAGAAATTTTTACTTCTTTTCCTTCTTTAACTATAAAATGAGGCTAAAACATTTTACTTTGTTGTTTCGTTCAGTCATGACTTGGTAAATGTCTTGGTTACTTTTCTTGTTGCTGAGACAAAATACCTGAGACCCAAAGTTAAAGGAAGAAAGGTTTATTTCAGTATATAGTTGGCTGATTCCAAGGCAGGGTGGCATGGCAGAGGGACATGGCAGAGGAGAGATAGTTTGTGGTGGGCAGAAGGCAGAGAAGCACCTGAGTAACGAAGAAGCGCCAGCAGCAGTAGAAACAACTTCTTTTTGTCTCTTTTTATTCCATCCAGGATACCCGCCTTTTGGGTGGTGCCACCCACACCCAGGGTGGAGCACCCTTAATCCCAGCATCACACTCTTAATCCCAGCATCACGTTGTTAATTCTAGCATCACATATCCTAATTCAGCCACCTTCGAAACTTTCTATCTATAAATACATGAGGCTTTTCAGGGACATGTAGATACAAGCTGTAACAGTAGATAAGTTGGGAGGATAATATGGATGTGGATTTGAGTTCAAAAATGGAGTCACCATGAAAATACTGTTAATGTTTTTTGTCTTTATTCTTTTATATGGATATTCATGCCATATTCTGCTAACCCCAATCCTAACCCTTGAGCTTCTTTGATAAAGCTGATTGTAAGTATTACACTTTGATATCTGCAGAAGCATTTTATATTACCGTTTTCTTCATTTGTAGATTGAAGCTGGACAATACTGCACTTTTGTTATTTCTACGGATGGTTCTGTCAGAGCTTGTGGTAAAGGCAGCTATGGGAGACTGGGCCTTGGAGATTCTAATAATCAATCTACTTTAAAAAAGTTAACCTTTGAGCCTCACAGGTCCATTAAAAAGGTTTCATCTTCTAAAGGCTCTGATGGTCACACTTTAGCTTTTACCACAGAAGGAGAAGTCTTCAGCTGGGGAGATGGTGACTATGGGAAACTGGGACATGGAAATAGTTCAACACAGAAATATCCCAAGCTTATTCAGGGGCCTCTTCAGGGAAAGGTATGTGCTTTCTTTTTAGATTTAAGAGTAATTAGATAACAGTGGTATTATAATTGATAGTATCTTTCAGATTTTGATGTATTTCTAAAGCTACCCCTCACCCTTTGACACACACATATACATATATGTGTGTGTGTGTGCGTGCGTGCATATATATATATATATATATTTTTTTTTTTTTTTTTTTTTTTTTTTTTTTTTTTTGAGTACTGGGGATAGAACTCAGAACCTTGCATTTGTGAGGCAGGCAGCAGAACTACTGAGCTAAATCCCTGGACCTGACTTATATTTTTGTATATCTGCTTTATAGTTTACAGAACACTTTCACATACATTATTCAATTTTAATTCTTTAGAGATGCTTTTTAAATTTTTCTTTTCTTTTTGAGATGAGGTCTTGCTCTGTTGCCCAGGCTGGCCATTAGCTCCTGTGTTCAAGTAGTCCTCCTGCCTCAGCCTCCTGAGTATTTGGACTCTAGATGCACATTACTGCTCCTGGGTCAGTTTTAATTTTTATATTCTCATAAGAATAATTTTTATTCTTGTGAGGTATTTTTCCCCATTTCACTGATAAGGAAACTGGGAATCATTCATTCATCCAATATTTATTTAGTACTTTACAAGTGTAAGGCAGTGTTTTTAGGCATTAGACACTCATTCTCATAGAGCTTTACTCTTAGGGCTCAATACAAATACACAAAATAATTTCAGATAATTATAAAGAAAAATTGAGTAATGTAATAGAGACTAACTTAGGCTGAACATAATATTATGTATCAGGATTCTTTTGGAGGAGGTCAATAGACCTGAATCAACTAGCATTTAGAATGATTAAATAATTGCCTAGTGTCTCACATAAATAATTGTTACCATTAGAAACCGAACCTAAATCATATATATGTATATATAAAAATAAATATATGTATTTTATTGTTAACTTGTAACTTTTTAAAGAAAACAGGTGAACTTATATGCAGTTTATAGGTTTCTTCATTGTAAGAGTCCAGTCTTTCAATAAGTATTTCTTTACATAAAAATCTTTGTGAAATCTAGCTAGGTGGAAAATCCCTGGATTTAGAGCTCATTACAGAGGGGGGAAAACTCCATAATTTTGTAAAGCCTAAATTTTAATTTTATACCAGTATTACAAGTGGCACCCTTTTCCTTCATGAGAGGCTTTCTGACCTGGTTGGCTATCAAATGAATTTTAGGCTCATAGTTTATCAACCCCAAGGCAGTGGGCCTAGGAACAGTCCACTTTGAAAGTATCAGAGGATACTTGATAACATGTTGAAATTAGGCTCTAAGGAATTTCAGATAAATTATTTGAAGTTGTATTTTCTTGGTCTAGTACTTTCTTCCCTCCTTAATTGTATTAGTTATATAGTCCTTTGAATGCCCCATTTTTATAAAGGAAATATTACCGATTAAAAACAACATAATGTGGAGTGTGGCGGTGTATGCCTATAATCCCAGCTAGTGGGAGGCAGAAGCAGGAGGATTCTAAGTCTTAGGCTAGCCTGAGCAACTCAGCTTCTGTTTTTAAAAAAAAAGAAAATAAAGGGCTGAGGGTAATAGCTCAGATGTTTAGGGCTTGCCTATCCTGTGTGAAGCTCTGCATTCAATGGGCAGTACCACAAAACAAATGACATCATACAAGTATGATAAAAGAAAAATATAATTCACAGATAAAGATTTCAAAAGTTTTTAGCATAGTATTTAAATGTATTAGGTGCTGAATATTTTTAATCGAATCTCATATTTCAGTTTCCTATAGTATACTCTAATTTTTGGAGATTAAATAGATGTGGAGCTGTTAGTGCAGACATTTTTTTCATATATTTTTCTAGTTGCTTGAAATTTGTTTGTTTGTTTGGTACGGGGAATCAGACAAAGGATTTTGCGCTTGCGAAGCAGGCACGCCACCACTGAGCTAAATCCCGGCCCATAGTTGCCTGTAATTTTGATCAGTGTTAGAAGGTGTGAGTGTTATCTGCCTCACATTGATATACTATATGTCTGTTTTCCCCTGATTCTACTCATTATGTATAGCTACTTGAGGGTAAGATGATGCTATCAAGAATTTAATTAATAGGGCTGGGGATTTAGCTCAGTGGTTCCGCCGCCTGCCTTGCAAGCGGGAAGTCCCGAGTTCGATCTCCGGTACCAAAAAAAAAAAGAATTTAATTAATAAAAGCCTACATACTACCTTTGAGTTTTCTAAATTGGTAATAGTCAATCTTTTTTTGAGAGTTATCCTTATTATATACTTATTATATAATGAATTTTTTCCTTTTCTTTTTGTGTTTTGTTTTGATACAGTTTCTCACTGTGTAGCCCAGGCTGGCCTTGAACTCACTGTGATCCTCTTCTCTCAGCCTCCGCAAGTGCTGGGATTACAGGCTTGTGCCACCACACCTAGCTTATAATGAGTTTTTCTTGATCAGCTAGAGCTAGAGGTTTTGCACTAACCTTATATGTAAAAAATTGTTAACCAGGTGCTGTGGGGTGTGCCTGTAATCCCAGCTTTTTGGGAAACTGAGGCAGTAGGGTCACAAGTTCCAGGCTAGCCTGGGCAACTTAGTGAGAACCTGTCTCAAAGAATAAAAGGGCTGAGGATGTAGCTCAGTGGTAGAACACCCTTGGGTTCAGTCCTTAGTATCGAGTGGGGTTGTTGTTGTTCTGTGGGTATTGAGCTTGTTCCTACTCTTGAGTCAAGATTTGATTGGTATTTCTGCAGGTAGTTAGACTAATGTCTTCAGAGCCCCTGCTAGTCTTTGGAGTGCTTTTAAGTGAGCTGAGAAAAGTCCTGTCCTTTGAGTTGAAGCCAGGGTTCATAGCTTGGCAAGCAATGTATAGGCACTTCCTTCACTACCTAGCCAGTCACCTATGCCTTGTTCTGAGCATAGCTTCCGTACCATGGCACTTCCTGAATGAGTTGTGAATGTTAATATCTCTGATGTCTGTATACAGATGTGTGTTTTAGCATCTGTGTGCTTATCAGCTTCCCTTGTGTGCAATGCAGGTAGTTGTTTGTGTATCAGCTGGATACAGGCACAGTGCTGCTGTCACAGAGGATGGTGAATTATATACATGGGGTGAAGGAGACTTTGGAAGATTAGGTAAGTTTTTTTTAATTGAAATAATTCTCACAGAAAATAAAAATGATTAGAGTTATTGAGAAGCAGGGAGATTACATATAAAGGTCATTTATTTTGTTGGTCTTCAGCTTAGTGGATGACAGTTTTACATAGATAATACCTAGATTCTGATGCTGTTATGTAAAATGTAATAAAACCTAGTAAGTTTTTACCTAGAGCCTATTATGGCCAGGCACTGTAGGGCTTCAGGAATAAGAAATATACCATCATGATCTTGATGTTTATAATCTACTGGGTCATGGAAAAAGTTGACACAAGCATGAGACAAGACAGAATAAGGTAAGGATGATTCCAGGACCATAAATAGAATTTCAGATGATTCACTAAAGTATCTGGATGCCCCAGTTTGGGAGCAACCTGGAAGACTGATTGAGAAGATATTAGGAATGATTCCATTTTTCATATTTAATTGCACTTCAAAATAACGTAGTGTTTATTCCACTTATGCAGTGATTGCCTGGAGAAAAGGTGTTAACACTTCTTCTTTGTTGTGTTCTTTTTCCAAGGTCATGGTGACAGTAATAGCCGTAACATTCCAACATTAGTAAAAGACATTAGCAACGTTGGAGAGGTTTCTTGTGGCAGTTCACATACTATTGCTTTATCTAAAGATGGAAGAACTGTATGGTCTTTTGGAGGAGGAGATAATGGTATGTAAAAAATTATTTATTGGTAGCTTCAGCTTTTTTTTTGGCCTTTTTTCTTGACTTTTAAAAAAATTTATTTTTTAATTATATATTTCTTGTGTAGAAAAACTCAAAATGCAGATGAACAGAAATAAAAATTAAACTCTGTTTCTACCAATATTGTCCTAACTCTTGTTAACATTTGGTATATGTATATAGACACAAACACATATTTACATGTATCTCTACATGATGTCTTTAAAAACTGAAGTAGACCTATGTATTTCCATGGATATTTTATAATCTGCTAGATTTAATATAGCAGTATTTTATGAGTATCTTTTCTCTATCAACCAACATGACTATATAATAGGTTTTTAAAAGGCTCAGTGTTCTCATGTGTCTTCAGTATGATTTATAAAACGAGTTTCCAGTTGTTGAGTACATAGATAGTTACTAGTTTTTTCATTATTAAAAACAGCATTGCAATGAGTAAGTTTTTGCCTTTAATTAGTCACTCCCACCTGCAAGGTGAATGCTCACTTGTTTGTATCCCTTAACAGTGTAGATATTAAAAGTAAGATAATTTAACTGGGTGTGGTGGCTCCTTCCTGTAATCACAGTACTCTGGGAGGCCGAGGCAGGAGAATTACAGATTTGAGCCTAGCTTGGACAATTTTGTGATTTCATGAGACCTTGTTTCAAAATAACAAATAAAATTAAGATAAAAGACCTGGGAGTATAGCTCAGTGCAGAAGCCTAGGGTTTAATCCCCAGTACCACACTTGCAAACACACACACACACACACAAAATTTAATTTTATTTATTTATTTATTTATTTATTTTCTGTGGTACCAGGGATCAAACTCAGGACCTTAGGCTTGTGAAGCAGGCGTGGTGCCACTGAGCTAAATCCCCGGCCCACAAAAAATAATTTTTAAAAGTTTATATTAAAAAATAATTTGTTGTTTTAAAAAATTGCATGAATATACATTCTTGTCTAGAACCTATATATTGTGTTTTTGCTGTGGTTGTTTTGAGACAGGGTATCGCTGTGTAGTTCAGGCTGACTTTGAACTCATTATGTCGCCCTGGCTGGCCTTGGATTTGTGGAGATCCTCCTGCCTCTGCCTTTCAAGCTGGAATTACAGGCGTGTACCACTACACCCAGCTAGAACCTGTGTATTGTTGAAGTCAGAAATAGGATCATAAAAGGGGGAGAAAGAAAGAAAAATACTTTTTCACATCTCTTTAAAATGATTTTAATTGCTTGAGGTTAAGATACAAAAAGCTATTGGTTGGTTGGTAACTTTTATAACAAAAATACTCATTTGTTAATATCCTTTTTTGTCAGAAACTTACAACTTTCCACATCTGTCAGATAAGTGATGAGATTAGACACTTCTTCAACTTTAGTACTTACAAAAAGAATATGAGGGGGCTGGGGATTTATCTCAGTGGTTCCGCCGCCTGCCTCGAAAGTGCAAGGACCGGAGTTCGATCCCCGGTACCCCCCCCAAAAAAGAATGTGAGCTCTTTGGAACAAGTGAAATGTTTAACTTGAATCTGTTTGTTTTTATAGGCAAACTTGGCCATGGTGACACCAACAGAGTGTATAAACCTAAAGTTATTGAAGCTTTACAAGGAATGTTCATTCGCAAAGTTTGTGCTGGGAGCCAGTCTTCACTTGCTTTGACATCAACAGGGCAGGTAGGACTAAGCAATGACTGTAAAAGAGCTATAGTATTTCAGAGGTCTTGATGAATCAAAGTAGTAATTGTATTTAAATTTTGAAGTGAAAAGAAATGTGTTTTTAGGCAGCATACTGAAATGAAGTATTTTTTCCTATTTGGAGTATTGAGAAGGAATCAGGTTTTCTGACCTGGCCTGTGATCTAGATCGAACCCCCCACCCCCACCACTGACTTCCTATACTTCCACCCTTGAAGATCAAGCCCAGGGCCTCCTACTTGCTAGGCTACACCCTCAGCCCCGTGTTCTTTCTATTAAGCTGATTTTATAAAATCATTTAACACTCAGCATTCCTTAAATCTTTCCCAAAAATCATTGATCGGGGAGGAAAGCAGCACTAGACCTTGATGAAATCAGGGATGTGAACTAAAACTTCAGGAAGGAGATTTTAAAAAAAAAGAACATTTCCATGTGGAAATAATCTGGGCAGATTAGGTATTTCTGAGGAACTGGGTTAGAGCTAGGATAGTCAGAATAAAATATTGTCTTTAAAATTTTTGAACTTTTACATGTGTATATTGACTCTTCCTCCCTTTGTGATAAGGAGGGACCAGGAATGGTAACAGACTGACAGTATCCTCCATCAGTGATGGCAGTGAAAATGTGAGCCCATCACTTACTCTCCCCCAAGTAGGAGCCTGTTATGTATCAGGCAGAGGAATAAAAATGTTTTCTTAATAATCATGGCAGATGTTAGCAGATGACCAGCAGAGTTGAAATTGGCATACAATTTTTGAGAGCCTGGAATGCCTTGTATCCTAAAAAATCTACTTCAAACTGTTCATTGCCTTGCGTTTAATTACTTTAGTAAGTTTTTCTTCTACATACTTCTTACTATGGCTTTTATAGTAAGAATCCATGAATTAAAGTCAAAGATGTTTACTTATTTGATGTATAGCCACAGGCAAATCACAGACCTCACTTGATTATGAAGGGTTTATTTTTTATGAGAGGGGAAATAATTTCTACTTTGCTGCAAATGATGACATAAGATGATTATTTGAATTGAAATTTCCAGAAATTGTCAAGTACTATTTAACCATTAGTTGGTGGTAAATAATAAACAATAAACCCATTACCCTGAATTCCAGGGTAACTCATAATTTATTATTATTATTACATGAAATAGTTGTATCCTGAGTACATTGTTATATTAAATCAATTGTATATTTTAAAAAATGAGAGCAAGAAACACTTTTGAATGATGAATCATTCTGTTTACAATTAAACTTGTTGAGCATGAGGTGAAGATCATCATTTGCATTTCCCTCAGTTCCCTCAGTTCCCTCAGCCCTCTTCAATGCCAGCTTCCCACCATGCTAATTATCATTGCCATGTTAAAAGATGGGTTATGAGCATGGCATTGTAGGCTCAGGCCTGTAGTTCTAGCTACACAAGAGATTGAGGCAGGAGGATCACAAGGCCAGCCTGGCAACTTTTTGAGATAGAGTCTCAAAAAGGGATGGATTTAAAAGGGATGGATTTAAAAGGGATGGATTGTAATGTAGAGCTACTTGCCTAATATACATGAAGCCCTGGCTTCAATTCCTAGTACTACCCTTCCCATTTTTTTGCTTATATTTTTTCTGATTCCAAAATGCAAGACTTTTTTTGGTACTGGGACTTGAATCCAAAGCTTCTACACTGAACTATACCGCAGCCCTTTTTAAATTGGGTTTTCAGGTATGCATTATCATGCTTGGCTAAGACAAGTATTCTTCACTAATGCTAAACTGAAGGAACACTACATGAGAGAATTTGAGGTTGAAGACCTTTCTGAGTGACAGTACTATTATATTTGTCTTACTTTTTCATTGCTGTGACAAAATACTTGACACTCACAAGTTAAAGGAGGAAAAGTTCATTTTAGCTCGCAGTAGAGGTTTCAGTTCATAGTTGGCTGGCAGAGGAGAACAGGCCACGGCAAGGCAGGCAGGAGGGAGGGAAGCAGTGAGCTTTCTTTTTCCTTTGTATTCCATCCAGGCTAGAACCCTATTGGTTGGTGCCACCCACACCCAGGGTGGTTTTTCTGTTTTCAGTAAATCCATTCTGCCACAACCAGAACTATGCTAATTCCACTCAGTGGGCTAATCCATTTAGCACACACCCATAATCCACCCTAGATCTAGCCACCTCCGAAAAATTCCACATATGAGCACATGAGGCTTTGGGGAGACATCTAGATAGAAGCCAAAACAATACTTTGTGAATGATTTAGAGTTTCAGTGAGATTTTCATTATATATTATTCCACCTTCTATGTCTTTAGTTCTTTTGGGGGAAGGGGTGTTTTGAGACAGGGTGTTGCTATGCAGTTCAGGCTGAACTCACTTTATAGTCCAGGCTAGCCTTGAACGAGGTTGATCCTCTTGCCTCAGCCTCCTGAGTCCTGAGATGACAGGGATGCACCACCATGCCCAGCTCCCTGTCTTTAGTTCTTAACCTGTCCTAAAATAGGCCTTTACTGTACTGGAATTTTTTTGTTGTTGTATTCTGTACTTGTCTCAAGTGAATTCTCTGCAAACTAGTATGTATATGTCTTTTCTGTTTTGTTGAAGTCGCTTTAACTCTCAGCGGCAGTCTTTCTTAAAGTAATTGGAAATCCCTCCAAAAGGCCTCCAAACAAATAACCCAACCTTGATGGCATATAGATAAGAGTCTTTATGATTTTAACAAATCCCACTGAAGGAAAAAAAATACTCAGTTTGTTGTTTGTTTTGATTTTGTACCTTTTGTGTTGCCAAATTGGCAAGCATCATCCTTTTGGCTCATGTAACACTCTCCCCAACAATCTTGAATCAAGACAGTAGGTTATTTTGTTATTAGTAAAGATTAAAGATACGCAAGGTGAACTATCTTGACCAGGTTGTTTTTAAACATCCTAAAAATCAGTTTTAAGATTTATATAATCTATTTTATATGAACACAGCTTGGTCTAGTCTTGATCTCATGTGCAGAGTAAGAAACTTGTAAAGGAGAAGCTTTTGTATTATGTACATGTACCAACTCCACACAAGGAATGTAGTCATTGTGGACTCCAAACATGTACTCATAAAAAATAATGGAAAGTAAGAAAATCTAACCCCTTTTAAATAAAGATTACACAGAAAAAAAAAAAAAAAAGTATTTCCAAAGCTGCTAAGATAGGGCAAATGTAGCAAAATACAAGCCAGGTAGTAGTGGCTTTAGTAGAATCTCTCTGAAGATTTTTCAGTTTTTCTTTCAGCCCAGCTCCTTGTCCACCTATACAGTGAATGTTTAAAAACAGCACAAACCAGAATATCAGTGAGAAAGAAAGCATAGCACAATAAATCACCGTCTTTTTTTTTTTTTGGTACCAGGGATCGACCTGGGGTCCTTGTGCTTGCGCAGCAGGTGGCGAAACCACTGAGCTAAATCCCTGGCCCAAATCACCATCTTTAAAATATCAAAACTGTAAATTATTTTAACATCAGAAAGTTGTTATTTAGAACCAAATTGCAATCTTGTTTAATAGGTGATGTTCCTAAACAATTTAAGTTGACTGCCTGATTATCTCAGGAACTTATGTGTATTATATTTTTGTTATTTTAGGTCTACGCTTGGGGCTGTGGGGCTTGTTTGGGTTGTGGTTCTTCAGAAGCCACTGCTTTGAGACCTAAGCTTATTGAAGAACTGGCTGCCACACGAATAGTCGATATTTCTATTGGAGACAGTCATTGTTTGGCTCTTTCTCATGGTAAAGTCATTTGTCTTTAAAAGTATGGTGTTAGCTATTATCTTTCTTACATGTATTACATTTAAATTTGTCTTTTCTTTTGTATTTTTTGTTTTCAGATAATGAAGTTTATGCCTGGGGCAATAACTCAATGGGACAGTGTGGCCAAGGAAATTCCACTGGTCCTATTACTAAACCAAAGAAAGTGAGTGGCTTAGATGGCATAGCTATTCAGCAGATCTCAGCAGGAACATCACATAGTCTGGCATGGACTGCTCTCCCTCGGGACAGGTAAGAGCACCTCTGTTTTGATAGCCATAGAAACCCCAGTAAAAACAGAAATAGCTGTACTTTGTTCATAAAATGCCTTTCTGAACATTTCTATTAGTTTTCACTGTCATAGAAATGATATCTAGATTCCTTTTTATTTGAATATTGAGGCTTTATGTGTTTCTTAAGAAGTTTCACCCAGTATTTAAGAGATTTCCTTGTCTGCTAAACATTTTTAATTTGTTCTTTATGTTTGGATAAGGGTTTTAAAAATTAAATGTCTGTATCAAGAGGAAAATAAACAATTAAAATCAGAATGAGGTTTTATTGATTTGAAACAATTATCAATCTCACTACTCTTTATCTGGTTTGTTTTTTTGAAAAAAAATTGTGATCATAGTTTTAAATTAAGGAAGTTGTTTTTTTTTTTTTTTTTGCAGAAATTAAGCTTTTTTCTCAAGTGATAACCGTATCTTTTAAACGAAGTAGGTAGGGGGCCGGGGATTTAGCTCAGTGGTTTCGCTGCCTGCTGCACAAGTGCAAATACCCGAGTTCCATCCCCAGTACCAAAATAAGAGAAAAAAACCCACTAAGTAGGTAGGTGAGTTTTTTTAGTCAATATTAGGAGTTTGAACTTTAAGAAATGTTTGAGTTACTTCAGAGATTTGTAGATGTGTTAGGGTGATTTGAAGTTTAGAATGTTTTATATTTGAATTTTAGACCTCTAGTTTGTTTGTTTGTTTGTTTGTTTATTTATTTATTTGGTACCGGGGAGGGAACTCAGGACTTTGTGTTTGGGAGGCAGGCAGCGGACCCATTGAGCTAAATCCCCGGCCCCCTCTGGTTTTATTTTTTTAATCAATTAAAAAATTCATAATCACCCTGAAATAGCCTAAAACAAAAAAGTTGAATAGTAGTAATTTGTATTGGTATTAAATTTGCAGCTTCCTACTTCGTATGTACATTGCTGTTTCTCAGGATCTTGAACGTCTTTGCACAGAGGCTTCAGGAATTTTTCTTTTTAATATGTTTCAGTGTGTCATTACATAGACTCATGCTAATTTTCTTAATATGAAGTTCAATTTTTTAGATTCTTAGAAGCAGAATTTAGTAGATCATGTGGCTCAGCCCTCTGCTTTTAGGTCTGAAGGTAGCCAAGCCTTCCAGCACAGAAAATGGTTATATTTTCTTCTTCTCCTTCTCTCTCATTTTCCCTCTGGTACTGGTCTTTGAACCCATGGGCGCTATACCACTGAGCTATATTCCAATACCTTTTTACTTTTAATTTTGAGACAAGGTTTTGCTGTATTGCTAAGTTGCCCTGGCAGGACTTGAATTTGTGACCCTCCTGCCTCAGCCTCCCAGAGTATTGAGATTACAGGCTTGTGCCACCATGCACAGCTTGTTTTCTTCTTCTTCTTCTTCTTCTTCTTTCTTTTTTTGTATTGGGGATAGAACTCAGTACCTTGAGGTTGCAAGGCAGGTGGGGTCCCACTAAGCTAAATACCCGGCCCCCCAATTTTTTTTTTTTTTTTGATACCAGGTGTTGAACTCAGGACCTCACACTTGCCAGGCAGGCGCTGTGGTTTTCTTCTTAAAGATGGCAAATTCTTGGTTTTCCTTAATCACTAAAATGGTTTTATCACCTTCCTAATTAGAAGGTTTTCTGTGTATCTTGTTGAAATCTCTCAGCTTTATTATGTTGTGGTTTTAGTTTTTGATCATGTATGAAAATTTCATTTTAAGGCACTTTCATGATTTTCTTATGTTTTCTCTAGGCAAGTTGTTGCATGGCACCGACCTTACTGTGTAGATCTTGAAGAGAGTACCTTTTCACACCTGCGTTCTTTTCTTGAGAGATACTGTGATAAAATAAACAGTGAGATTCCCCCACTGCCCTTCCCATCATCAAGGTATGTTATACAGATAAGTATGTGCATTTTGTTTGTTTGCATGGGCATGTGTATGAATTATTCTTTTTGACATTTAACTTACTATTCTTTCTTGCTTTTCTCCTCAAATTATTTAAACTTCTTTAGATGTTAGAGTAACATCTTTGGGGGAGGGGGGTACTGGGGATTGAACTTGGGACCTTGTGCTTGCGAGGCAGGTGGCGGAACCACTGAGCTAAATCCCTGACCCCTGAAATTTTTATTCTTAATAACATCTAGGTTTTAAAATGTTATCTGTAATTTCACAAGTCACATTTTAGAAATTATAATCATGACTTGACAACCTTTTTAATGAAGAAGAATGTTACCCAAAATGGGATAGCACATGTACTTATATGTTCTGGAAATTCACAGTAGTATGTTTGGTTTCAGGGAACATCACAATTTCCTCAAGCTGTGCCTGAAGCTGCTTTCAAATCACCTTGCTCTCGCACTGGCGGGAGGGGTAGCTACCAGTATTCTTGGGAGGCAGGCAGGTCCACTTCGAAATCTGCTCTTCCGGCTGATGGACTCAACTGTTCCTGACGAAATCCAAGAGGTATAAGAATAGGGCTGTGAGTCTGTAACTCAAGCCACATCTTTCCCTGAAATTTGCGCAATGAAATATATTCAGCTATACACTGGACAACTTCATTCCATGTTCTTTCTTTTATTATCTTGACGGGGGTCAGTATTTTGGATAACTCATCCTTTAAGACAAAGGTCAGATGCCATCTCTGAGAAATCTTTCAGTCCTCGACTCTCACTGGGTTGGGCGTCTCTCATGTATGTTCTCATTGTGTCACATTGTATTATAGTTTCAAACATTTTATTTACAAACATGTGGATCTTTTTCACCACAGGATGAATTTCTGAGGGTAGGGACCCAGTTTTATTTATTTTTGTATCTGAATAAGTAGATTTTTTCATCTACCAGGACCCTAGCCCGAACTGGGAGTAGAATTCATCAGCGAAGCCATTTGGATTGAATTTTTCTATCTGGCACTTAACATCATCATCATCATCATCATCATCATCATCATCGTGATGAATTCAATGTCTTACTCATTATACGTCCATTCAGATTTTCTATTTTTTCTTGAGTTATTTTTGGCATTTCAGTTTATGCAATCAGGTGATACAGGTTGGCTCAGGGAGGAATAATTGACTAAAATAGAACAGAGAGTCTATGAGTAGGAATGTTTGAAAAAGTTGATGTGGTACTGTGATAAAATTCTAGATTTTGGAGTATGTGAAGAACCCTTACAGTGCAACCCTAAAGCCAAAAATCTAAATTTAAAAAATAAGGAAAGAATTTTAGCAGACAGGTTTGGAGTGAAGATATACAAATAGTAAGCACCTGATAAAATTCTCATCACTAGTTACCAGTGAAATGTGAATGAAAACCACAGTGTGATACTTCTTCACACCCATTAAATAGCTAGAGTCGGAAAAGACTGACAATAGCATGTGTTTAAGGTGGTAGAGAAACTAGAACCCTCACGTGTTGCAGATGGAAGTTTAAAAGGATGCCACTGCTAACCAGTTCCTTAAACACAGAGTTACCATATGACCCTGCAGCTCTAGTTGATCTGTACCCAAGAGAATTGAAAACGTATGTCTATGCAAAAACTTGTATGGGAATATTCATGGAGGCATTATTCATGGCAGCCAAAAAGTGGGAACAGCTGGGCATGGTGTTCCCTGCCTGTAATCCCAGCTACTTGGAAGGCTGAGCTAGGAATATCACAAGTTAAAGCTGGCTTGAGCAACTTAATGAGACCCTATCTCAAAATAAAATAAAGAGCTGGGGATGTAGCTCAGTGGTGGGAGTACTTGCCTAGTGTGTATGAGACCCTGGGTTCAATGGCCAACCCCTAGCACAGAGGGGAAAAAAAGTAGGAAGGAATAGGTCATGTATAGTATATTTATACAATGTGATATTATTCAGCTACAAAAAGAAGTGAAGGGCTGGGGATTTAGCTCAGTGGTTCCGCCGTCTGCCTCGAAAGCAGAAGGTCCTGAGTTCGATCCCCGGTACCAAAAAAAAAAAAAAGAAGTGAAGTACTGTTACACATTACAATATGACTGAACCTTTTAAACATTATGTAAGTGAAGGAAATTGATGTAGAAAGCTTCATGTTATATGATTCCTTAAAGCATGAAATTTGTAGAATTAGCTAATATCCTTGTTCAGTTGTAGGATTCTATTCAGGAGCCCACATTGCATTTAATTGTTACTTCTCCATATTACTCTTGTAATAATTCTTCAGTCTTTCCTTGTGACCTCTACACTTTGTGACTACTGGTCAATTGTTTTATTGGTTATTTTCTTATGATTTGAATGAAGTTACTTATTTTTCTCATGATTCGATTCTATTTATTTTTGGCAAGAATATCACCAAGTTAATGTGTCCTGGCCCATCATCACCTGGGGTTCATATTGCTAGGTCTTGTTACTAGCAATGTTGTCCTTGATTATGTGGGTAAGATAGTTTCTGCTACATTTCTACATCGTTAACTTCTGAGAGTCAGTAGAAAATA